GCTGAAAACTTCAGCATGTGATAAGAACCTAGTCATGTTTCTGGTTCAGATGCAGGAGGCAGGAGACACAGTTGTCCAAAGCATAATGTACAATGAGCAACTGCTCATTAGTGTTCTTTAGGGTATCATGTTTGTCTTCAGAAAAAGAGAGATACTGTGAGATTACGTTAAACTAAAGAAACAAACTTATGAAATGCACAGGAACTCTTAAAGTATTTAAAAAGATCTTCTCTGAGTATTGCAGGAAGGTTCAGAATTGAGGTTTACTGCATAGATTTCATAGGGGTTGCAAGCTGATCACTTATGCCGAAAACCAAGCCCAGGCTCTTGTGTCTGTGCACCCTCTGGGCTGGATCTGGCTCTCACCTACTGAGTCAGTGTGTGAGCAGAGCAAGTGCCTGTCTGTCTGTGCCCCTCAGTGTACATGTGCTTGTGCTCTGGGTAGGCACATCAGGCATGTGGCCCTTTGATTCCAGGATCTTTCACTTGAGACCACGGAGAGGCAGACACTAGAGGAAGCTCCAGCAGTGTATTTCAGGATATATCAGGTTAAGCAGCAGAGATAAGGACTGGACAGACCTAATTTAAAACAAACAAACAAAAAAGAAATACACACTCCCCAACAAAAAAAAACAAGAAAACAACAAAAAGTTCTTTTGAGGTTTAAAGTGAAGCTACAAAGGTTTTGTATTTTTATTAAGGCTTCTACTGTTGTATCTGTAAATTTTTGCTCAAAGTTATTACTTTGACATTTTGTTGGCCATTAATTATTTTAATAACATCTGCATCATAGCAAATGGATTGAATGAAGCATCTCAGAAGAACAGAGGAATCATGCCACTGCATATCTGTTGCTGATTCACTGTTCCAATGGGAAAATCCCATTTCTATTTTCATGTTTCTACCTACAAGCTGGAAAGAATGCATTTTCTTACTTGGATTGCAGTTTTGACATTTAAAGAAATGCTTGCTGTAATGAGGCCTCTCTGTTTTGTTCACTATGAGAACATTCCAAGTATTTACATAATTAGAATATTAAGAGACTATATATCATAGTTTAGAAAACAATTTGAATTTTGCTTTCATTTAAAAAAAAAACCAAACCAAAACACAAACCTAATCCTAAATGGCAACTCCCACACTCAAATCTTCTAGGTTGTCCACAAAGCACAGATATAGGAATTTGTAGAACAAAGAAGCTTTATATAGGTAAGAAGGAAGAAAGGGAAGCGTTTTATTATTCTTGTTCAGAAAATGCTCTTTTTACCTCATTAATTTTGTGAAATGCAAAAATGGTTTTGAGGGAAAAAGTATAAATTCTAGCAAAGATGATGTCTGTAACTGCTCTTAACAAACCAGCTGAGAACAGATAAAACTCTTGCCTTGTTTTGAGAAAGCTGCTTGTTTAGCTGCACTGAATGTAGGAATTATAAAAACAAAATAGGATTCTTCTTAGACTCATTTGCATGTTAAATATTCTGGCTGTTTTTCCAGCTCCCAGTTATTTCAAAGCAGTCCGAGTGTCTGAGCTCTGGGAACAAACCAAATGACTTACAATGCTCTTTGGTGTGCAGATGACCCCTTCCCTAAAAATCTGCTAGTCCAAAGTGGAGCAAGTTGATGATTGTACTCTTTGAAATCATAATAGGCTACTGGGAGAGAAACTTTCCTTCATATCAACTTCAGAACTACACGGCTGAAGAGAACATTTGAGAGGGTACAGATAGGCAAACAGCATTCATTTGCTCAGTGATGAAAGCTTTAACATGCCTGTTTTCTTTGTAGTCAAATTTGAAATCCCATCAATGCATAAAGCAAATATGAAGTAGCCCAGCATGAAGTGCTTTAGACTAAATTCACTTGCTCTTTAAATCGGTCATTAACCCACACTATTTAATACATACAAAATGCCTGTATGAGGATGAATTTCAGATCAGAAAGTTGGTATTTTAATAGTTTAGTCCTTTATCCACTGGGAAAAAAAAAATCAACCAAACCACACACAAACCCCACAACACATCCGTAGGAGGATCAGGGATTTTATCAAGTGGTATCTGTGTCAAAATAAATGAGGCAACTCATCAGAAGGAAATGTCCCTAACGATCCATTACCATTAATGGGCTCGAAATCCTTGCTCAGAGAACAGACCATAAACCTTCTAGACAGGTGGACAGCATCACCTTTAATATTCAGTAACAATCGAAAGGCAAAGGTTGGGATAGGAATAGAATGAATTATTGTTATGTCTGTAAATCAGTGAGAGTGTCCCAGACCTTTTCCTGTGCTTTTTATGCAAGAATTAGTTTCCTTTCTCAGGAGAAAAAAAAATAGCCGAGCTAGGAAAGGTAAGGGTGAAGGGAAACCAGATCTGCAATGAAATGGCTTCCGTGCCAGGAAAAATTAAGCAGCACCAACTCAGTAAAACTGTGACAAAGTTGTGTAAAGTTGGGAATGGGGATTGTGAACAGGAGGCAATTGTTCACTGTTTCTCTGAAGATGGGAGCTGATGGATATCAAGTAAAGCTATCAGGCAGCAGGTTTAAAATAAAGTGGTTTTCATAACACAAGTCATAACATGTAGACCTCACTGCCACAGAAGGGTAGTAGAGGCCAAAAATAAAAAAGCATTTAAAAGAAGCAGGAGAAATTCAGAAAACAGTGTGTCAGGGGCTGGTCAGCATTGGCTGTGGATGCAGCCTCTTTCTTCATTGGGGTGCCCCAGAAGCTGGGGGCAGTACATCAGACTTGATGTCTGCATCAGGCCACCATCAGAGATGGCATCATGGGCTTCAGAGAACACAGATCTGTGCCAGGATGTTTGGCATAATGGCCTGCACCACCTTGCCTCATTTCACCCATCACAGCTTATAGCCAGCCTGTAACTTCTTTTTCTTTCTCTCTCACACATGCTTTTTTCTCAAAGTAACTTTTTCTTTCTCCAACCTTAGTGAATACATTGGTCCTCTTTAAAAAGTCTTGATATTATTTTTCCCTGGAAAGTTACCCTCGAGTCTTGCTGCTCTTCCTGGGAATGCCAGTGCGTGGCCTGTTTAATTGCATCAGCGTCACGTAGGCATGCATTTTGCTATATACCTGCTAGGCTCTCCTGTCTACATGAGGTCTGATTGACACACCCATCTTCCCTGGAAGCCCCATGGACATCCTGTTTGATGTCTTTTTTTTCCACCTTGTGTGAACTTGGCACCAAGCAGATTTAATGACGTGAAAGCCATGTGTAGTCGGGGACAAGAAGCAGGGGTGGGGACCACGGAACACTGAAGCTCTTGAGGATCTTGTCTGTGTGGTCAAAGAATGACACTGTATTTGGCAGGAAACCTTTCCTCTCCACTCTTACTCATGCATTCCTCAGTTCTGGAGGGGACAGGACAGAGATAGTTGTCCTTTCTCTCCACTATCTCTTTTCCAGGAGCAAGATGTACATGCTGGTATGTCCATTCAGGCACCTCTCTGTTCCTGCTGTTGAACCCCAGCATTAGGAGAGTCAAGAAATATCAGTAGGTGCCTCAAATAGGCTCTTTCAAGCTCTTGAATTTCCTAAATAATAGAAAATTGTTCAAGTCCCTGGATGCAGTCTGGTTCTGCTTTTCTCCTGCTAACTAGCTTGATGAATAGGTCAGGTATAACCTTTAATAAAAACTTCTTTTTTAGGTTATCCTACCTTTTCAGGTAGGTTGAGTTGAGGAATTTTCATACACCTAGACTTCTTCCACCCACATGGGTGTGGTGGGATTTAATTTCTGAGCCTCTGTAAGTGCCATGGGAGTTCAAAGCAAGTGCTGTTATTTCTATTTCCACGTCTAAATCACTTGTATCTAGTGTACACAGAACTGGAAGCAGGAGGGCTATTTTCTGGGCTGCTCATCTGGTTCTTCCCAGAATAGTGCTGAAGTTACTTTGTAGTGCATACCTGGCCTGTAAGCCTAACAGGAGCAGTCTGCATTGGATAATAATATGTTCATTTAAACAATGCTAATAAAAAGCATCCATTCTTGGGATGTGCAAGTTGGAATGTACAATGAGTTTCAAGTACAGGGGAGCCTTGATAATTGAGGAATAATTTGCTTAATTATGTTGTTCTTAGTCAATGTGTCATTAAAACAATGAAAAAGTTAAATGATTGTTTAATGTCTGACTGTCAATATTTTCTAGTCTCCCAGATAATTAAATAGTCAGGATACATGTATTTGGAAGAAAAAAAAGAAGTTACTTTAGAAGATACATGGATAGGAAGTGCATAAGAATTATAAAGATAAGGTTATTCAAAAAAACCCACAATCCAACACCTCCTTTCCCCCTGCAAGAGAAACCCAAACCAAGCCAAAACAAAGCAAGGAAAAATCCCCCAACCCAACCACAACTGCTTCATTTATTGCACTATAATAAAAGGTTTGGCTTGGTGGAACATAGTACCTACTGTACCTCTGCCTTATTTTTATAGTTCTAAGGAATCTTCCATTGGAAAAGCCGCATTTTTCCTGTTGCTTTTCAGATATTGAGAGTGGGCAGTTCTCACCTGGTGACTAATCTCAAATGTTGAAGTGACCTTGGTCAAAAAAAGGAAGGAATACTTGCAAGTGCTAACTCAGGTTGCCATATAACTTATAATAACATATGGGCCTTTGTCTGCTCTTGATTAAAACAACAGATTTGTGTTTTTAGATGTACCAGTGCAGCTGTCAGCACCTTTGGTCTTTCCGTGACTAGAAAGCAGGTTAAGTCAGTCACTAAATAAGGCATAACCTCTGTTTCCAAGGCATACTTAAGAAGTTGATTGCAGTTTTTAAATCTAATGATTTATATATAAATTTAAATACTCTGAAACGAGCCTTAATGTCCAGATGTTCTCATGTCCACTGATTTTGACAGATTTGAATTAAAGTCCAAGAATTCTCTCATCTTCTGTTAATAATTTTGGTTTTGTAGTATTGAAAGACTATTTCTTCATTGCATAAGGAATGCTTTGCTTCTGTGTTTGCAGATGCTGTGAAGCCACCAGTCAGTTCTTTACAACCATCTGCTGAGTTACCCTTGCCCATCAACACTTCACCACCTTCCATGCAAGCAGAATCTTCCCTACCTTCTCCTTACCGGCTTATTAACATCCCCCCACTGGAGTCTTCCTCTGGTCAAGAAGATCCTCAAGACTACTTACTGCTAATAAACTGTCAAAGTAAAAAGCCTGAACCCATGAGGTAAGTGACTTTTGTTTCTTAATAACATTTGTTTGTATTACAGGCCAACAGCATTTTGTGCTAAAAGCACTTTTTTATTGCCAAAACATTGAACATTCAGATGCGCATAATCTACCCAAGGAAGCTGCCTGTAACTTCTGCTTTTTTACTTTCTGTGCTTGAACTTTTTGCAGTAATAATAAATTGTTTGATCAGTGCTAGACCCATACTGTATTCTTCAAAAGCATGGGCAGCAATTGCTTGAATGAAGTATAGGAATAATGCAGTGATCCAAGCATCTCATTGTAGCTTGGAGTGGTGCACGGCACAGAGCAGAGAAGTACTCTTTCTTTAGCCACAATCTGGTGTGCTTAATCCAGTTTAGGACTAGAAAAACCTGGAGGAATTTAGCCTTTCTCCCTTCTGGTATTTGGTGCCCCAGTTTTGCCAGTTAAAGCTTTCATGGAAGGGATTTAGAAAACATGCTGATGTTTGTTATCACCTGCCAGATTACCACCTCACTGAGTGCAGCAATCTTCGAGTGGTGTTTGTTTATTATTGCTAGCATGGTTCAGACTCTCAAGACAGAGTAAAAGGCAATTATTTTGTGACAATTAAGAATGCAGGGGGCTGAAACCGCACTATTTCCATGTCATAAATTTTAACTTTTTCCAAATAACAGATATTTAAAAGCAAGCTCAAATAACCTTTATTTTCTGCTGAATAAAGACTACCTACACAGTCAGTTCTCCAGAGGAGTGTGCAATCGGAAATTTTAGGGAAAGCATTTAGAACCTCTACTGAATTGAATGTCTATTTATTTCTCCAACTACTACTTCTAACTTAAATAAATGCACAGCACCTTCTGCATAGAAGACTATGATATTCATGGTAGCTACCTGGGAAGTATTGCTATGTTTTGCCAGAATGGATTATGGTGGCCATTCTTGGAGTAGCTGCCCAGGGACATAGTGGAATCTGTGTTATCTTTAAAAAAACTTCAAAAAACCAACCAACCAACAACAACAAAAAAAAAACAAACAAAAGAACCACAAATGAACTTGACTGGACAAGCTCCTAAGGAGCCTCATCTGATTTTGAAGGGTTTTGCTTAGAGGTATTGGAAGAGCTGGAGCAGATAATCTCCAAAGGTACCTTCTAACCTTGAGTATTCTGTCGGAGAGCCCTATAAATCCCTCTGGCAAACTTCTCTTCTGCAGTAATTTCAAATAAAATTTGCTGGGGTATTTCCAGAAAAATAAACAAAATGTCATACTATTTTTGTGATTGCAGACAAGTACATGGAAGCTGAGGAAAGCTTCCTTTGAAAGTGTTTTCGTGAGTATTTCACATATTTCCTTAGGGCCATACCTTTTAGTGGCAGTGCCTTCTTCAACAACACCTTGATGCTCTGCCAGTTTTCCCTCTGCCATGTGCTCTGTGCTCCCTTGGCATTTTTATCTTGCTCTGTTGTGCCTGAGGAGTTTCCTGCTCCATTTACTGACAATTACATGGTAGAAAAATATCTGCCCTTCACAATCTTCCCCATGAAATCAGGGAATGAGCCTACCGTTCCCCCAGAGTATGGAATGTGCAGGTTACAGGCATCATGGTGTGCCCTAAAAACTCCTGCAGGAGAAGGGGAAACCCAGTGTCTGCTTTCTCACCGTTAAAGGTTTCAGTGTTTAGTGATGTTTAGAAGCTGATAGTGCCCAAGAAGTATGTCACTGTTCCTGCCAAAAGCTTTTAAGAGTTTGGTATTCATTCCAGAACAACTTGGCAGAGGAATCTTGACTTTCATTTCAGCACCCCGGCCCATCAGAAATGTGTCTGAATGCCTGTTTGCTTCTGTGAGGGATGGGCACAGAGCAGAAGTTTAACACCACCACGTGAAGCGTGTTTTTAGGAATTATGAAGGATGAGGTGTGTAATTCACTTTCTGACCTGATTTCCACAGTTATGTGATAAATGCATTAAGTAGAGGCTGAGGAGACCGTAAAAGGGGACACAAACTGTGGCAAGTAGAGAGTCCATGAATAGCTTACAAAATTTCTCAAGGAAGACACTGATGACACAGGGGAGAAGGTACTGGGGCAGGCGGAAGGTCCAATGGAGATAAAATGCCCAGTGAACTGAGAAAGAACTGATCAAAATCTTTGGGAGTGTAGCGATTGTTCAAATGAATGATGGTTTTGTAGGAACATTTGAAGACAATGAAACATTGGCATTGTGATCACTTGGATATTATATGGGCTTAGTGTATTATATGTAGCTAAATTTGCTAAATAGCTGTGTCCTTTCATTAAAAAGGCTGTAATAATGAAAATTCAGAATAATAGTTGTGCTGGACTTCAGTTCCACCTAAAAGGATTCTTTATGTTTTCTGTCTGGTACAGTAGGTATTCTGCTGGATTTGGGCCAGAATCTAGAGTATATAGACCTTTTCCTATGGAATTAGAGCTTTGTGTATCTGTGTAGTATGTTACTAAGGTGATCAGTAAGAGTGCACTCTGTGCACTACCCCAGTCCACATCCTTAAAAGCGAAGAAAAAAATTAAATGGCTTCATCATTTTCCTAATAATTTCCAGGCTTGAAGCAATATATCTGTGTATTTCATACAGACTTAGTGCAAAGTGCAAAGCTTAATAGCTGTAATTAAGCAGGCAGGTACTGTTAATTAAATGGTTTTATTTTTATGATGTTTTCCCTTTAGACTTAAAAGTTGCCGATACGCAGAGGGAACGTTTTCTATTCTAATTCTGCATTTTACTTTATAGGTAATCTGGGAACCACTGAATTTTATTTCAAGGCTTTGAGGTTCTTTTCTGGGCAAGATGGGGAACTGTGAAATATAGAGGAAGTATCCAAGCTGCCTCTTTGGAATTTTTTGAGAATTGTGGTGTTTCAGAACTAGTAAATAGTTTTGAAATGCTTCATTACAATGTCATACAGTGCACCACATACTGTTGTGAGAACATCTTGGATGCAGCAGTTGCAGCTGTAACAATCACGCTGTATTTTGTCTAAAATAGTTTTATGCTCTGATCACTCTTGACTTGAGAAAGAACATTGTTTGACTGTAACATTTAGTGAGATTTTAAGGTTTGCATTTGGATCCTAGAGAGGAAAATGCAGCCAAAGACTGTTTCCAACCCGCTTATTGTTCTGGCTCATTCGAGGGGTGTACTGAAATACTAAACGCTGTCTTCCTCGTCTCTCCTATGTTTATGAACCAGCCAAGGGTCACCCTTTCTCTCAGAAGAAGGGCAGGAATACCTGCTGTTAGAAGACTTTGAAAGTAAAAAGATTCCACTGCAGTGAGTGAACAGTAGCCATTCTTGGCACACGTGTGAGAAATTAATGACAGAGCCATTAACTTGCCTGAAAATATTGTTTGCTTGAGATGCGTCTTGCATGGTGTTCTGTGAGTTTTAACAGAAGAACCTTGTAACTTTGTCTTGAATTTTCTGGAAAGAAAGCTGGGTTATTATTTATTTATATATCTACCACATTTCTTTTCTGTGCTTGCTCATTTGTCCCAGATTACTTGCACACAAGAGCAGTTTTGCTGCCATGTCGTTCGTAATATTCTGTTTAATCAGTCATATTGATTCCTGCAGATGGGAAAAGAATCAGCTGGAAAGGATGAGTGGTCAAGCCAGCCCGAATACAGCATTTTCAAAAATGGGATGAATGCCCCTCAGACTAAAACACTTCTTAAACATTTTTTGCTGGGTCTCTGTCAACATGTAGTTTTTAGGACATGGATGCTTTTCACTGGATTCCCCTTGCACCTCTCCTCTGTGCACCTTAATGCCTAGTCTTTGTAGTCCAGCAGACTGCACAGTTTTCTTTTCTTGATATGTGGAAAGAGATGTCCAATGCTAACACTGGGTAAGGGATAGCTTGGCCACTGAGCATAATTTGGAGATACGTGATACCCACTTGTGATAACACTGAATTCACGTCATAGCCATCCTCTGCTTGTAAAGTGAGGAGTTATCATTGTGTTATATCCAGCCTTGCCATTGTTTTAAACTGAGATATAAAAAAATAATGCTTATCTTAATAACCAGTTGTTAATGGAATATTTAAGGCAATTGGGTTTTTTTTATTAAGCTATACTAAAGTGCTTGGTAAAAATTAAAATTCCCAAAGTAGAGAAGTCATTGGGCATCCTGTCAAAAAAAACCCAAACAAACAAAAAAACCCCCACAAGTAAAGTTTGTTCCTGTCAGCTATGCACTGTGCATTTTCAGAATTTTACATGGTGTTCTTATCATGATCAGTGGTTAATGCTGATTTTTGAAAACCAGTTAAAATTCAGAGGCTGAATTCCTTGACTTTGTTTGGACTTAAACTGCTTTCTTTGTTTCAGACTGTCTTCAAACTTTTAGTCTTGCAAAATCTGGCTGGTTACAACCCATTCATATTTTGAAAACTGTTTCAGTAGACTGAGAAGTTGATTCCAAAAGATTACTTTAAAAATTGTGAAGTAAATCAGAAATGCCCTCTTATAATGAGAAATGTAAGTTGTTGCCATCAGCTAAGCAAATTACAGACCTGGCTGTCTCATGTGTCATGGTTTTTCAAAGTCTTCTAAGTGCTTGTGGTCAAGAAGCAGCACCATCCACTTTGACCCAGAAAAACTCCTATATTTAAAAAAGCATTTGTTGCTTGCATGTGATGGATAATCCTTAAGCACTGGCATTGTACATGTGCTGTTGTTGCATTTTTGAGCTCTGGTTATATAGTCCTGTGTGTTTTCGTAAGATAAATGTAGTGTTGATGTTTTATTTCTGTAGTTTTAGAAGTTTTTTTTCATTTTAAAGTATATCCTAGTGAACTGGAACTAATAATTTTGGTTCTGCAATTGATTGTCAGTGCCCAGCTTCTCTAGACTGCCCGCTTTATTTTTATGGCATAAAAAACAGAGATCCCAATCCTCGCCACACTTGCTTATGTGAAAAACATTTGACTTTTGCTGAGATTTCAGTCTGAATGAATATCATGGAACTGGAAGAGTACATCTAGAAAGCGAGGAACTCCTGAATCAGTTCTTTGAGTAAAGAGGAAGGGCTGCAGCAGGGGCTAAGCTCAGTGTTACTGGTCACACTGTTGACGATTTATTACGCGGTCTGTAACGTCGTGTAATTCCTTCAGTCCTGTGGGCTCTACTTTTTGCAAACCTCCAGTGGTTCATTCGTGAATTCTTGAAGCTCTGAGGCAAAGGGAGTAAACTGTTACGAGACAAGAGATATATTTTTTTCATGGTCAGCACTGGAGGGAATACAGGAAGTTTTGCCAAGGATAAATAATGAGAAAATTCTCTTATTTTTGGGAGAGAGTCCACTAAACTAATGCTGATTAATGTTCTGAGTTACCTAGAAACCAGTTCTGGCCAGTAAGACAGAACTGAAAACTATGTTTAAAATAATAACCAGAGCATTTCTCCGATGAAAAAAAAAAAGCCAAAACCCCTAAGAATAAACTAACAGGAGAAGGTCATATAATTGCAGTGAGAGAAATCTCATAAGCTGCTCATCCTGGTAGAAGATTGTATCTCTGCTATTAAACAGAACACAAAGTTCTGTTGGTTGGGTGAATGACATTTTTCTTGACTGCAGATGTCCATTCCAGGCTAACCATGTTGGTTCCCTTGATAGCTGTCAGAGAGGCACTTTGTGAGGGATTCCTCGTGTTTACGTGGATATCTAAGAGGAACAGATTGTGTTTCACACAGTCTCCATTTCTCTGATGACTGCAGGGGAAATTTAATTGGATAGCTAAACTGGATTCCTTTTTCCTCAGGTTGCCAGAACCCTGGGAGATAAATGCAGCTGTCCCTTGAGAAAGAAAGTTTTGTGCAAACTTACTGACGAATGAAATTTGTATAATAAATATTGGTTGTGATCCCTCTGAGGTAGCGAGCCTCTTAAATAAGGGGGAAAATGCTTCTTGTGGTAGTTCATGTATTTTATTCCTCAAAAGTTTCGGAACTGTGTGGTCCAGTTGCTTAATCAAGCTTAGTAAGAGTAGCAGGTGTTCACTGAAACATATGCATGATGAAATATTTACATATGTATGTATAAATTAACACAATGTATGGTATTGTGCTAATGAAAATAGGAAATATCATGGTATGATTGGTCAAAAAGCGTATGGACTACCTTAACTCTACCAGTGTTTTGCCACTATCTTGACTTTCATTTAAGCAAGGAGTCCAATACAGAATCAAGACCAGTAATAACAGAATTTCTCTGCTTGGAGCACAGTAACTGGGGAGGTTTACAAAGAAGATAAAATCATTGCAACGTGGTTACTTTCCACGTAAGTTTACTGGTAGTAAACTTAGTAAACATTAGTACTGGTTAGTACCACTACTAGTGAGTGCTATTCTCATAAAAGAATTTCCTAAGAAATCAAAGGTAAACAGCTGTGCAGCTTTATCTAACACCACTGCCTTAATTTGCATTCAAGACGAAAGCACTCTGTTGCACATGCAACCTATGGATTTTTTTTCCCCTCAAAGAGCGTACTGTTTTCCTCCTGTTTATGTTCTTATCTCCTACTTCTCTTTCCTTTACATATTTCAAATGAGTTTTATGTGGTCAGTACAACATCAGGCACACATTTAAGAGCATTACAAGCAGTCATCATTTTTTTTTCCTCTTAACATCTTTTTCATACTGATTAGAACTAGCAAGTACTGTAAACCCAAGAATGGAGTGTCTTATTTTTACCTTTAACTGTGCCATTAACGTGCTGCTAGTTGCCAGCATGGGTTAAAAAAATAACAATTAAAAAAATCCCCCCAGCACCCAAACCAAATAAAATCCCCCAGCTGCCAAAAAAACTGCTCCAAATTGGCATCATGGAAATCACTTGCTTTATGAAACATCAACCTGTTGTGGAGCTGTTTGTAAAGCTCCACAGTTGTATTATGTGTTTCACATGCATGGATTGGTACATATGTAGTCACTTAGGATCCTTAAGCACTACTATTTGTTTGATAATTGAGTTCCTGCATCTCATTTTTAAGAAATAAAAATAAAAACTTGGAAGACACTGACAGACTTTTTAGTTGTTTACATTCCAAACATTGAGTCTATCGTTTGTAATGTTTGTTTTTCCTTTGTATTGTTCACCAACATTTTAATCTTACAATCTCACATGTAGATCTCACGCTGACTCGGCAAAATCCAGCTCTTCTGAAACAGACTGCAATGATAACTTGCCCTCCCACAAAAACCCCGCTCCCTCAGCGAGCAAGCACGCTGTGAACGGCTTCTTTCCGCAGCAAGGGGTCTATGACTCCCCTCCTTCTCGGACCGGACTGACGCTGGCAGACTGCAGCCTCTATAACCTGCCCAGGAGTTACTCCCAGGATGTTTTACCCAAGGCAGCGTCTCCGTCTGGGACTGACGCGGAAGTAGAGCAACACGTTTTCAACGCGCCATCGGCAACGTCTTCGTTGGACGCGCAGATGAGACACGTCTCCATTAGCTACGACATTCCCCCCACACCTGGAGGTACTTATCAGATTCCACGAACTTTTCCAGAGGGAACATTGTCTCAGACTTCAAAACTGGAGACTATTCCAGATATTCCTCCGCCTCGGCCACCAAAACCTCACCACGCTGCAGATCGGTCTCCTGTGGAAACATGTAGCATTAGTCGCACTGCTTCCGACACGGACAGTAGTTACTGCATCCCCACAGCAGGAGTGCCGCCCTCCCGCAGTAACACCATTTCAACTGTAGATTTGAATGTCTTTCGGAAAGGTCAGTACTCTGCAGAGTTTTTGTGTTAAATGGTGTGGTCTTGTGAGGAATGGTGGGATATGAATGATGTGAGCGGCGTTTCTAGCCCTTAGAAACAAGTGTGTAGCCCTTCACAAGGCGGTCTGTGGTCAAAGTACGTAAGAAAGAGGTAAAAGAGATTATTAAAGGGAACATCAGTAAGGGATGGACATTGCACTGTAGTATTTGGTCTTGGCTAAAAATATTTGAAGACCCAGACATATTTGTAGTGTTATTCATCTTTAGAAAACACCAGTGAAGAACTAATCTTTTTTTTTTTCTGATGCCTAATAAGCTCATATAACTGAATTCAATACTGCCATTATCAGTCTTTCAGAACGACCAAAGTTAGTAAATTGTGGTCCAATCTGCAGAAGCTGAAAGAGTTTCATGAAGGTCAGTGGGATTTGGTGTATACCCATAGCTTTGAGATCAACCCCGATTTGGGGATCATTGCCACTAACCTTTATTTCATTACTTGTGATTGATATGCTTAGTGCAGTTTTTAAGTAAAATTGAAGTTATTCCTTGTGGCTACCTAAATGTTGGTACTCTAGATGTGCTGCCTTGTATATTGTCTCGTTAACCTCTTTTGTGCTGACTTTCATAATTTTTTAGGTTCCTGAAGCAGGTGGGTATTGCAGTGTTACTTTTAGAGTGAAATTCTAAGCTGGTTATGGTGAATGCTAGTGTTAGAGGTCTTTTTAAAGGAGAATTGTTTGAGTTGTGCTTGGTATGGGATGAGAGGCCAAAATGAGGGGATGGGAACAGGACTTTTAGAGGAGGCAATTTACAGAATGGATGTGACATACAGGTGCTCAAATAGTATTGTCCTGTTTGTCATTCATTTTGTAGGCTGAGTGTAACAATATTGGTGGTTGATAGCGTTTTAAAATTACAAAGTAACACCCTGAAAGATCCTTGTTTGCTCCGGTTACCTTCTCTCATTTTCCTAAGTTTGTAGGTAAATATTCCTACAATAAAGCTGAGATTCTCTGTCTCAGTAAAAGTAGCCTTTCTGAAAATACTGTTTTAATTTGGTGCTCAATAGCAGAGGTGTTTATTTTTCCTCTGAGATGGAAATCTCAAAAAAACATCAGAGGTTTTTTACAGGGCAAGGTGGGGCTAAAACCCAGAGTTTTCCCAGTTTCTGTATTGGCATCAGGAGGAGGGGCATGCCTGCTGCAGGATAAGGCAGTCTGCCACCTGCATGGATGAGCAGCACCTGGGAGCCAGGTGTCCCACAAACACCCCTCTCCACCAAAGAACCAGCCACGAAGATCGAGACCTTCTCTGCTTCTGCAGCAGTTTGTTCCAGTTGAAAGCCCCTGGAGACCACACTGGGGAGCTGAGAGAAGGAATTCACCTGTTCCTGCAACAGATGGAATCCTGTTGAATCAGCACTTTCCAAAGGAAGGGTATCAGTAAGGAAACCTTTCTCCAGACCCTGAACTACATCTGCCATTTGTTTATTTTAGAATAGCTTTTTCATGAGGGCCCAGATTCCGACTCTTACACTAAGTTCATACAGGTGCTCGTTTGAAAGAAAGACTTTGCTGCTTCTTTAAAAGCAAAAATTCCTTTTTCTTTTCTCACAGTGGAAAACCGCCGCCATAAGAGCTTTGCATTGTGACTGATGGGTGCTAAGGTTGTTTGTGAACACAGTCCTCCCAAGTACAGATAAAATCTATGGGCCACAGCTTCAGGAGGCGTGTTTGTATGCTCTCAGAAGCAGACAGTAAATAACAAGAGACTCTGGATGCCTGGTGCCAAGTGACAGGAACAAGGATGATAAATAGCCACTTTCTCTTCTTGTTTCTTTAGAAATTAGTTCTCAAGACTGTTATGATATTCCACGAACGTTTCCGAATGACAGATCTAATTCATTGGAGGGCTTCCATAACCACTTTGTAAGTATGACTTGATCTGATGTGAGGTGACAGTGACAGTGCTTGAATGCTCTTGGTTCCTGTGTAAAAAAGCAAGTTGTACGGTGTTTGTGATTTTTCAGTTTCAGTATTAATCTGAGTAGATTAGGTTAAAAAACTCATATGATTCACAGCTGATTGCATAACTTATTTTGTTAAAGGAAATATATGTTAATTCTAGAAAAACAGAAGCATGTTGACAGTGGGAAGTGTTTCAAGTGAAGAACTAGATGAAAATTATGTCCCAATGAATCCCAACTCTCCTCCACGACAGCATTCCAGCAGCTTCACTGAACCCATCCAGGAAACAAACTATGTACCAATGATACCAGGCACGTTTGATTTTCCATTATTTGGAAAGCAAGTCCCTCCTCCTGCTCACATGGGTTTCAGGTCCAGTCCAAAGACCCCTCCCAGACGGTCGGTACCTGCTGCAGAATGTGAGCCACCGCCAGTGGATCGGAACCTCAAACCAGACAGAAAAGGTGAGGAAAATGTCCAATAGAAGGTAATTTAATTAAGAAAATAACATAGCTCTCCCAGCTTCCAGTTAGTAGAAAATTACCATATTCGTAGAAATTATTTTTAAAATAATTTTTGTCCTATGAGGTAATTGTAACACAAAGGGATCGTAGGATTATTTTTAACAATATTAAAGCATCACAAAAACAGTGCCAAATACAAGCATAGGCTTATATTATAGCCCTGCAGTTACTAAAGAAAAAATGACACAGAATTGCTGACATTTAGAGGTGTGAGTTTTAGTCCTCATATATAGGAGACACTCGTGATGCAGAGAGAGCACACAAGGTACTGGATAAAATACAGATTTATAGCCATAACAATGCTTGGTACAGGAGCAGTACACATTTTCACTTTGGAAGGCCCTTCCAAACCTATCCTAAAAGATTAATCTTGTAAATCTGGTGCACACTGTGTTTACTTTTCCTTTAAATAAGGATTATTTGAGTGACTGGTGTTCTTAAGGAACAAAGAAGGTAGGGTTTCAATGTGTCTATAAGAGATACTTGTCTAGAGAATCACTAATAAATAGCTTGGATTTTCCAGTTCAGCTGAAATTTTTTATCAGCCATCTTGTCAGAAATACAGGCAAATGCTTAAGGAACTTGTTTCCCCCACTATGCAGTTTTTCAGACAAGATAACTAACTTGTAGAAGTGGCAACTACAGAACATTAGGTCAAGTCTCTGCACTATTTTGCATATGAGTAAGTCCTATTTTTAATCTTATGCACTTGAAAAAATTACTATTTACATTGAGAATCCTGACTTCATTGTAGGAAAGCTTGATGGCAAATATTCAGGTGGTCTAAAATATTCACTAACTAAACCTTTAAGTTAGTATTTTTCCCACTAGGTGAAAACAACCTGTAATTAAGGGAAGTAGATAGTATCATGATCATATAGATGAGCTCAGTGTGAAATGGAATGTCTCATTCCTGCCTGTCCATCTCCAGAAAGCGAGGCATGGCCTTTTTCAAGACCTTGGCTCTATGCATGTGTCTAATTGTTTCTGTTTTACCAGACAGTAGTTTTGTTTAGTTCTTAAGAAATACTGGACAGTAACAGATTGATGAAAGCTGATAATGGAAAATATTCTCAAAATAAGCACTGAACTGATTTAAAATATTTTCCCTGACTGGCCAGTTTGTGTACTTTACTGATAAAATGTTTGACCTTCAAAAGCAGTAAACTTCTGTGTTTAAAAGCATCTCACTTTTGCTGTTGGCAGCGCAAAGCTGCCACACAGATGTCTGCTGGTGCAGCATCGTTGCTCTTGCATCTCTTTTTGAATCTGAATGAGTGGTTCACATTCTGAAAGTGGCATGTGAGGCTCCTGCTTTGCTCCCATCCTCAAATGCTTTACAGCTGGAAAGAACTAGCTAACATTAGGGAAAAGATTTTTAGATGTGCTAACATACCTCTGAATAAGTGTAGAGTGACTGGCTGAAATTTTTGCCTGTAGACTTTAGAAACTTTTACCACTGTAAAATAATAGGATTATTTAATGTCATTTACAAGATAAAATAATTTTAAAGTAAAACTGTCCCTGAAAGTAAGTATTGTATAGTAAATGCTTAGGGGCTGCAAAAAATGTCGTGAAGATCTTGAGCTACCAAGAGTAGTAATGATTCTGATTTATCACTGAGGGTTTTATCTTAGTAACACATATACACACAGCCTCACTCAAATTTTGTCAAGTGCATTACTGTGAGTTTTCCATTGTTGTGAAGAGCAGATATGATGACACATCAGAATGGTAATATATTCCCATTTTAGTAGCTGAGTTCTCCATGCAAATAACTCCTTCCAGATATACCTTTGGGAAAATAAAACTGCAGTTTCTTTTGAGTTAAAGTAGGATAAAACTCTTGTTTAAGTGGACCTTTACCTAATTAAAACAAGTGTTTGCTTTATGTTCTTCTGTGTTGCTTTTTCAGCTTTCAAGTTCTTGTAGCAGCTTCTACTATCAGGTTGTTTCTGCTTATGTAAATGTACTGCAACGCTCTTCTGCTACAACTGAGTGCACAGAAAGTATTGAGTTGGCCAGTAGGTTCAATAAATCTTTGGCAGACACAGAAAGGGAGGAAATGGAACATAAAATATTTACCTTCTGGGTATTGCTCCATTAAATGTTGGGGTTTTTTAATATGCCATTGGTTCAAGAATTTCTGTTGAAGACCACTGGTGCTTCTCTAAGAGATGGCGTTACCACAGAGATCGGGTGTGTTGGGGTAAGGTATTGTGAGGGCACATCTCCTGTTCTCTTGGAAGAAGGTGCTGTATCTTTTTTTATTGGCTACAGATTGCTGCAAAAATAGTGTTTGCACTGCCTCCAAGTAACAATTGCTCTTTAGTAGCTATGAGAAGTATCACCACTGCCTTTCAGATGAGCATTAGCTTTAGCTCAGTCATGTTGGTGTGGGCCAGGGAAGTTTGTTCAATGCTAAAAATGCATTTGACAAAGAAATAGTGCGGTGAAACTAGCAGATAAAGAAAGAATATACTGCTTTTTGTTGTCAGATGTATGTGTTTAGCATCTCCTCTGCTTTCCTTTGGTTTGAGGGCTTACAGCTTACAGGCAGTATAGTTTGACAAGAGTAGAAAGTGGAGGGCTCAGTGATGGCAGGGCCCCTTCTCTGGCATACAGCCTGCTCTCCCCTTTGCTATTCTGTTCTGTACACCTGACATGAAACAGATACTCACTTTCTTCTGGTTCTGCTGTCTTTGAAGAATAATGTGTCAGGCAGCAAGGACCTGGCAGTCTGTCCATTGGCAGTAGTGACTGTACTGTGTAATGTCTTCACAGCTCTCATACAGCAGCTGACGTTCAGGGTAATTTATCTAATCATTAATATTCTCCAAATTTCTACAGTTATGTAGAAGTAGTGACTGACAGGGGACTGATTTATGAAAAATCATTAACATAGGTAAACTGAATGTAGGTAATAGGTCTAAAATTTATTAAAGTATGTGCACATTCTTTTGAGGAGGGTACTTGTGCAGCCCAGCCCTGAGAGGCATAGGCCCTTTGGTCTTCCCAGCTGGAGGAGTAGCCAGGGCCAGGAGCCATGGTGAGCTATGACATACCCTGTGTCTTTTCCCACTGGATTTTAAAGCTTTGCTTTAGAAAATGGATTAAAAATAATAACAAAAAAAAATAGAGAGAGAGAGAGCCTTGAGATTACACTACAGGTTCACATAGTTTCATTTTCTAGCTCACAGCTGCTTCTGTAAATACAGGGAGCTTCCAGTACTTTCTGAAAAATAAAACTGCAGTTTTGAACCATGTTCAAAACATGGTGTTGGCTCCCTGCCTCAATAACTTGAATCAGAGCACTTTACTTTTTCTTTAGAGAAGCATACCAAAAGGTAAGTGATGTACTGGTTGGAACAAAATGGAGAGCGTTTGGCAGGTGCTTTTCTGCATTCACCTGTAATTGAATGATTAAAAAAAAAATCTCTTTTTTAATTTAATTTTTTTTCAGGGTGCTGTTTCTTTAGTTATATAGAACCGTTGTTTGTATTGATTTTTGTATTTCTGCTTTTTGGCCGCTTTAGCTTGCCACAGTTGCATGTAGTCGTGATGCTAATTTGGAAGTGTGTTTGCTAGCAAAAGGCTTCGAGCAGAAGAAATATTGCATCCATCCATGCAGTCGAATCTTACTCACTGAATTGCTCAAAGACTGTGAAGGGTTCTGCCACAGAGCAGTTGTGACATTTGTTGTGACAGTGACGTGTTCCTTCCTCAAAACAATATTTATCCAAGAAGGAGCAGTGGAATTAAAGGTGCCCAAACACGGTGGGCAGCCAAGGCAACAAAGAACACCAGATTCTCTTCTCTTCAACCTATTTTAAGGAAAAGGTGCCTGGTCAAAAATGAAAGGAATAAGGTGTGAATTCTTTTTTATAGGTCAGCAGGAAGCCTTTGAGTGACACAGCATTTGAGATGGGAGTGTCTGTCAACCTCTGGGCATGCTAGTGACCCCCTCCTGCCTAAGGGTTTATTTCCAGGACTTGGGGGATGGGGTATGTCATCTTAAACCAAGACTTTAAGACCAAACATCTACAAAATCAGATTTTTTTAAAAACTGTAACTGTTTAGGAGCCCTGCAGAAGAAGTCCTTATAGCTATGTGGCATCATCATCCATAAAGTTGAAATCTGTGCTTGTCATCTTGACTGATAAAATATAGTTTTTCAATATCTGAATCAAACTGTTAAGTCAGCGATGGAATTGGGGATGGTGGAATTTACTTCTTCAGAGTCTCAGTTTGATGCCCAGCTTACATTAACTTGGTAAATTCTTTTTTCTGAGACCACTTCTGCCAAAGTGGGTTTTTTAAGGTTCTGCAAAGAAATGGATGAACTATGGGCATATGGCTGAATTAACAATTCATAACCATGATGGAATGAAAGTTAAAAATTTAATCTCGTTCATTTGAGTATAATATTGGAATGTAATGCATGAATGAATATAAATGTAATTTTAGTCATGTTTTGACCCATAGTACTTAAAAACACCTTATGAGAGAGTTCCATTTAGCACAGGTCCTAGTTCAGAGTCACGGGGAGCTGAGTTAGAATGATACCCTCAGGATCAGATTGCTGACAGAGGCAATACAAAATTTGGGAATCCCAGTTTACAACGTGGGTTTTGGGTAGGATTGCAGAGATTTTTTTTTACTGAAATAACCAATAATCAGTGTAGTGCATTTTCACTTTTTTTTTTTTTTTAAAGGCTTATATTTCAACAAAAATTTAATCTGAGATGCTTCCTACGACTTAAGTCCATATGATTGCCTTTAAAAGAGGCTGCTGCTTGGCCCAGGCAATTTTCAGCCCAGCATGTGGTAAACTTGGATTTAGACTTGGATTTAGTGGGTGATGCACACATTTCTTTTCATGCCAAGAAAATACCCAGTTGCAGCTTGAAAACAAGAAAACAAACAAACAAAACAAACCA